CTCCTAACCTGATTTCTGCACTGAGAAAACCATAGCTCTGGGGGCCACAAGGTTCCACTCCCTTCCACAGGGCTGTGGTGGTACACAGGGCCAGGTGAGCAGGATGTGCCCCCACCTGCACTGGCCTCCCGAGTTCACTGGTCTCACTGTCCAGCCCCCACCCTTCTTTCTCCTCCTTGGTCCCCAGTTCCCACGCCTGCCTGAGGTTCCAGGATCCAGGGGCAACTCCTCCCATGGCAGCCATGAGACTCATTGTGGGGCCATCCCCCCAGCTGCTGCTAGGTGCACTTGCTGGGTGCCTTAAAGCCTCAAGTTGTTCAATCCTCACTTCAATCCTGTGAGGTAGCTACACTTATTCCTCCATTATCTAGAAAAAGGAACTGGGGCTCAGGGAGGTGAAGTCACTTGTTCCAAACTATCCTGCAGTAGGCAATGAGGTTGAGATTAAGGCCTGCCTTAATCACTCAGCCCCTTGGTCTAGCCTTCCAGTGTCACCGTAGTGAAGCAGGGGCGGGGAGGGGCTGGCCTCGGGGCAAAGTTCTGCCCACAGGCATCAGCCCAATGCACACCTTGGCTCCCAGAATCTCCCCCAGAAAACCCAACCAGAAGGGGAGAGTGAGGACCCAGGTGTACAAGGCTGGTTTATCCTAGTGCTCACCATGGCATCTTGGAAATGACCTTGCCCCTTCCACATCAAGAGGAGCTTGGGGGGGGGGGGTGTCTCTGTGAAGATCTGAAAATCTGGGTGAGACCTGAGTGACAAAGCCCAAGAGACCTCCCTATGTCCCACACCTCCAGGCGGGCTTCTCAGGCTGCTCTGCAGAGGGTGGTCTCCAGGCCCAGAGCAAAGACATCTCCTTGAACAGCATCCCAGGCCTACCCCTTCCACTGAGGGTGGGCTCCTGACAGAGGCCCAAGGGCTCCAAAACCACCATTCCTCAGGGGTCTTAACTATTCTGCCTTTAGCTTCTCAAGAGATAGTCCCATCCACCCATCACTCTCAGGTCCCCACACAGCTGGAGTGGAAGCCCCCATTCAGCCAGTTGGAATCTTCCAGACAGGGCGACTCTGTCCTATCAGACAATGAAAGATGGTGTCACACCAGGGGGCTCCTGCGGAAGCTCCCCTGCCCCTTCTTGGGCGTGGTCCTTTCTGAGTCATCACACACCACCCTGTGTGTGAGGGGGTCCCAGGATTGTGTTTTATGCCATAAGACAGAGGGTCCGAGAGGGTGAGGCTGGCTGAGCACCGCTCAGCTGCTCAGCGATAGGGCCAAGACCCAAAGGGCATCTGTCTGCTGCAGAGGCAGGGCCCCATGAGACCGCGGACACACATGGAGCACCCTCAGCTCTCCGGCTTCACCAGGACACTCCAGCTTGCCCTGTCTGAGAGGAGGCCTCAGGCCTCATCAGCCCATTTTACGGGAGAGGAGGACAGAGGAGGTTAAGTGCCCTGGCCAAGCATGTAGCGGCCCTTCTGGATTCCAAGGAACTGGGGCGACTTTGTCTCGCTTCTCCAACCAACACCTTCCTCTCCTGGGCTGAGAGCGCTCTGGAGCTCGAGGGCGTAATCTAGAGGTGTCGGAAAAGTCTAGTCGACGTCCACTGAGGTCGGGCAGTCCCTAGGAACCCGTTCCGGCCAGCGCCGCCGGCGGGCTTTGCCCCCGGTACTCCCGCCCCAACTGAGGGCTCCTGAGAGAACAAGGGGTTGGGGCCGCTTCCGCCGCGGCGGAAAAACGAGCAAAGACGGCAGAGGCCCCAGTTCCGGCGGCTGCTTCAGGAACCCCGAGCTCCTGCAGACGGAGCCGCGAGCAAACCTCCCGCCCGCCCACCAGAGGCCCCGGGACGACCCGCTAGAGCCTCTCGCGAAAAGCCGCCCAGGCTTCGGGCCCCGGAGCCTCGGCGAGCCGCCCCGGGGCGCTTCCCCCGAAGAGCGGCGCCCGGGACAGCCTGGGGGGCGGTGCCCTGGCGCTCCGTCCGTCTGTCCGTCGGCGGGCGCGCCTCTGCCACCGCGCGGGATACTCGCCCCGGGGCTCATCCCACTCCGGCTCACCCACCGTGCACCAGCCTCCGCATGTCCTGGTAACGAGCCCACAGGTGCGCGCTGAGCTCGGCGCCGCCGGTGGGCGCTGGGGCGGGCGCGGAGCGCGGAGCGCCCGGGCAGTGGGCACCGGGGCCTGGGGGGCCGCAGCCAGGACAGGAGGGCGAGGACGAGGCAGCTCGCGGGCCGCCCTGGCCTCCGCACGGCAGCCAGCGCCGAGCGGCCGCCCGCAGCCCTGCACCCGCCATGCCCGCTGCGCGCCGCCCGCGCAGCCCTCGGCCCCGTAGGCCACTCCGCTGCCCTCCTCCTGCGCGCCCGCCACGGTGGCCGCGTGCTCCTCACCGTGGCCGGCCAATGGGCGCGGCGCGCGGAGCCCGGCCGGCCAATGGGCGCGGCCCTCGGCCCTGGGGGCGGGAGGTCCCGGGACGGGGCGGGGCGGGCTTGCTGGCCCCCTCCCCCAGTCTCCCGCGAGGCTGAGAAGGACATTGCAGCCCCCTTTGGTCGCCGCGGCGGTGATGGCGGCCTGGTCTGTCCCCCACCTGGGAGGTCCGAGGACCTAAGAACGGCCGTCCCCGCGAAGCTCTGGACGGCTGGGGCGCGGAGAGGAAAGGGCGGGAGCGCGGCGGGTCCACCTGGGCCCCCCAGTCCTCTGTCTGCCCCTGCGTTCCCGGGCCCTGCCGTCCCTTCCCCCACCTCTTGTCCTCCTGACCGCAGATCCTCGGCCCCTCCCCCCCAGTCCCGCTGCGGGGGTCCTGCTCCCCGCCTCCGGCCCCTGACTGGCTCTGCCCGCAGACCGGAGGCCCCTCTGCTTCACTAATTTATCCGGCGAATAAAGAGCCCTTCCCGCGCGCTCGCCGGCGCCACCCCACGCTGGTTGAGACCCCAGAGTCCGCAGCACAGCCGACATCCGCTGAAGCAGCCCCTTCTCTTTCCCCGGACCTCACACGACTGGGCGCTGCCGGGCGGTGGGCCGGGGTCACTGCGCCTACTTGGTTCCGACCTCAGCAAATGGCCGCACCGACCCGGCCCACTCCATGCTTTCCCCTCTCAGGCTCTCTCTTGAGATGCCGCGATCTCTTCCAGCAATGTCTCCAGGCTTTCCAACGAAATTCCTCTTTCCTTCTTGGAACTACTCTCCACCCGCGTTTCTTCTACTCAGCTCCGTTTTCTGAGCCCACATGCCTATCAGGCTGGGCCCTGGGTTCTGTGGAGGCTGACCCTGCACCCATGGCCCCAGTCGGTGGGGAGCTGATCAGCTGGACGCTGCTTCCGTGGGGTGCTCCTCATGGTGGCCTCTCCGCCTTTAAGGGTGTGTGTACATTCGAATATCCATTGCACCTTGGCTGAGGGCCTACATTGTGCCAGACCCTGGGCCAGGTGCTGGTGCAGGGTGGAGGCCGAAGGGTGGGCCCGTGGGTGGGTGGCTGTGCAGCCCCAGGGCCACATTGAGCTAGGTGGGTACTGGAGATCTGGCCACATGTAAGCCTCGTCTGGGCAGGATATGGGTGCTCTGAGGCATCCAGCCCCCCAGAGCTACCAAGAGAAAAGGGACTGTTGCAGCATAGTGGTTAAATTCTGCAAGCTGCGCTTGGACATCTGGGTTCCTGGGTTTGGATCCCTGGTGCGGACCTACACCACTCCTCAGCCATGCTGTGGCTGGGACCTACATATAACGTGGAGGAAGATTGGAAGATTGGCACAGATGTTAGCCTCAGGGCTTATCTTCCTCAGAGGGGGGAAAAAAAGTGAGCACCAAGCGTGTGTGTGGGCGGTTGGGTGGGGTTGCTTCCAAGAGAAGGGAGGTTATCTGAGCAGCTGGCCTGGCTGCTCAGCGGCAGACCCTATGACCCTTTACAGGGCCCCTGTTTGCTCTCTCTCTTCTCCAGCCTGTTTTTGTGTGTTTTGTGTCCACATCACCAAACTCTCTTATTGGTTCTAAGTTTTCATTTGATTTTCTTAGATTGTCTGATAGTTGTCTCCCTTCTCAAAGATACTGCCTAGTTTTTTTGTCCTTAGGTAATGAGGTGACAGCCCCTTATAGACATCTTCAGCAAGCACAGCAACTCAGTGAGAGTGAAGTCCCTAGAGTCAGAGTTCCGCTTCTACCTGGCTTAATTTCTTAACTTCTCAGTTCCCCATCTATAAAAGGAAATGATGAAAATAGGGGCGAGGTTCAGTAGGTTCTGGAATACATGTAAAGAGCTAGGGCTCAATAAACCATCATCATCATAGTATTATAGCTAATGTTAATTGACCAGTAACTATGCTCCAGGCATTGTGTTAAGTGCTTTATTTATCTCTCTAAATCCTCTCAAAGCTTCAGAGAAAGGTCCCCGTTTTGTAGGTTAGAGAGTTGAGGCACAGACCAGCTAAGAGAGTTTGTGTAGAGCAGGGATGTGCTTTGACAAAGCCCAGGCTCTTTAACCATCCTGCGGTTCTGTGATTATTGTGAATAAGAAGATGATGCATAAAAAGCACCTACAAGTCCCTGTATAACGCTAAGTGTCCCATATAGGATAGCTTTGATTAATTTTAGAGTTGTTTTTCACAAGATCCTTTTTTTGTGATCATGATAAAGTTCAGCTTTCAATGATGCATATCAAATTCTGTTATTTTTAAAAGTCTAGTCACCAGTCACGACCCTGAAATAAATGCAAAGCGTTGAGTGATTGCATTTAGAGTATGGTGTAGTACACATTTAGTCCATCAGAGAGGGTCATCACTTCTATCAGGACTTTAAAAAAAAGATGGCGGTGGCAGAGTAGGGGGTGCGGCTGCCAACTCTGAGCACTAGCCTGTACCGGAGAGGTCGTGGGGCGGGACCGGCCCGAAGCCACGTGGGAGGCCTCGCCCCCTTGGGGAGCCCCGCCTCTAGAGCCGAGGCGCCTGCGCCAGCCCCCTCAGGCCGGGCCGGTCTCACAGAGCACGCGCACTCTGCCGCATTCTGATTGGCGGATCCGCGTACCCCACCGCACTCTGATTGGTGGAGCCGCCTCAGGCTTTGGGTCTGGGGCTCATCGCTCAGCTCCTGAAGATCTGCACGCGCCTGGCGGGGGCGCAGGGTAGGGGTCCTACGGCGCCCGGCCTTTGTGCCTTGGCAAGGACGAGCGGGACGGCTCGGCTCCACCCGGGCGCTCCAGTCTAGGGGCTGGGGCAGCTCACGTCGCTCCTGCTTCCGCCGTACCCCTCTCCACGACTTCGGTCGGGCATGTTTTCCAGGGCCCAGGTGAGGCGGGTTCTGCAGTGGGTGCCCGGAAAGCAGCGACTCGGCGTCTACCGGTTCCTGCCCTTCTTTTTTGTCCTGGGAGGAACAATGGAGTGGATCATGATTAAAGTGCGCGTGGGCCAGGAGACCTTCTGTAAGTGGGGGTGCAGCAGCCTCCGTTTTATTTCAGGAAGGCACGAGGCGGCAAGGGACCCGTTTTCCTGGAGGATATTCTTAGGTTGCAGACCGTTCGTTCCACCCAGAGCGATGAGCTGCTTTTACCCTGGTCAGAAGGGCAAGTGCAGGTCATTCGTTGGGCCCTAGGGACCGGCTTGGGTCCTGCTGTAACGGGGGCGACAAAGGCACATTGGCGAACAACCTTGAGACTTTCCCTGCACGTTGAGGGGAGGGCACGTGATAATATGCCTGTGATATTATTTGGACATGAAGAACAGCCTCGTTCACAGTACCACAGAAGGGGGTGGGATCCTGAGGATTCATGGAAACTCCTGCTAACTGGCCAGTCCTCTCTGCACTCTTCAGTCCAAACCCTGGAGGGAGCTGGTCTGTCCGGCTTAGCTAATTACCACTGTCTTTACAGGGCAGAGTCCTTGGCACCAGGGCCCAGCACTGTGAAAAAATGCCTAGCATTGCTTTGCTGAACTAGTTCCTCTTCTGGAAAGACTTCTCCAATCCCTAGGCCCTTTCTGCTTTGTCCGTCTCCAGAAACACTGCATCACTTGAGAGTTGCTAACCCTCATTAAAAAAAAAAAAATTACATTACTGCTTTCTAAAGATATTCAGACCTTCTGTTCATCCATTCATCAATATTTAATGAGCACTGATGAGAGGACATGATGAACAAGGCAGAGGGTCCCCTACTCCAGAAGAGCTCTAATGGGAGAGACAGATGTAAACATTGTTTAAGTGTGATCAGTGCTGTGAGGGGAAAGTGGAGGGAGCATGGGAGTTTTGGGTGGGGCACCTCAATTGGACTAGATGGTGCAGGGAAGGCTTCCAGGAGGAGTTACCATGTCAGGTAGGACCTGAAGATTGAGTCAGTGTCAACCAGATGAGGGAAGGTGTGTGGAGTTGAAAGTGTCTCATGCCAGCGCTAACAGTAGACATGGAGACCTTGGTGTGAAAGTATGCTGTGTTTGAGGGACTGAAGCAAGTGAGCAGAGTAAGGGAGGAAGTGGTTAGAGGTGCTTGCAGGGCCACAAATGGACTGGAGAACAAAGAGTATGTCCCAAAGGATTGAAGGGTTTTAAGTGGCAGCAATTTTTTTTTAATATTGCCACCTGAGCTAACATCTGTTGCTAATCTTTTTCTTCTTCTCCCCAAAGCCCCCAGCACATAGTTGTATATTCTAGTTGTAGGTCCTTCTAATTGTGCTGTGTGGGATGCCACCTCAGCATGGCTTGATGAGCTATGGTAGGTCCGCACCCAGGATCTGAACTGGTGAAACCCCGGGCCACTGAAGCGGAGCGTCCGATCTTAACCACTCAGCCACGGGGCTGAGAATAGCTTCTTGTGGACAGGAGACTGTTAGGGACACTTAGGCTATGTGGTTGTCCAGGTTTGAGGTGGTGGCCTGGTCTAGAGTGGGGACAGAAGGGAGGCAAAGAAGTGGGTGGAGTTGAGAGACACCCCAGAGATAGTATTGGTAGGGCTTGGTGATTGGGTAGACTCAAGAGATGAGGAGTGGAAGCTTCTGTCAGGACCGCTGGGGCAGGGGGAACACAGGCAGGACAATCCTGAGCTTCATTTTCGATGTGCTGAGGTGGAGATGGTTATACAGATCTGAAGCTCCGGAGGCAGATCTGGGCCATAGATCTGGGTTTGTGGGTCGTTCACAAACAGATTGTGATGAACGTCAGAGTCAAACTCCAACATTTTCAGGATGACTGAGAGGGGCCAGAAAAGCCAGGAGGGAAACCAGAGGAGTCTGTTATCAAGGAAGACAGGAAGTTCAGGAGGTTTGACTGCGAATGGGAGGTAAGCTCCCTCTCCCAGACCAAGAGAGACTCGAAGAGAGGCAAATGAGAATCAGGAAAGAGTAGGTGGAGAGAGGCTGGAGATACCTTGGCCTCTGAGAAAGTGGGAGAGGATGGGATCAGAGTGGGGCGGTAGGAGTAGCCCTTGGAAGTTAGCTGGAAGAGTTCTTTACTGATGACTTTTTTCTGAAGAAAGAGTTCATGGCCATTTGGGAGTGGGTCAGGGTTATGGCTGAGGAAACAGGATCGTCAGGCTTCACAGCACACCCAGTTAGATGCAGCAGTTGGCCCCAGAGTGCAAAGCAAGCAGAATGAGGCAAGAAGGAAGGAAGTTGGATTAATCTGTAGTTGGCGTTTTGAAGGTGTGTCAAGAAGTTGATGTTGACAAAGAGGGAATTTCAGCTGGTTTGGGCAGGGGCCAAGGACCTGGGGAAGAAATTGGTAGAGGTCCAAGGACAGAAGGGCTAGAAAGATAGTAGAGATTGTGGTCAGAGCAGAATGAATGTATTACTTGAGGAACACTGCAAGTAGATGGCAGAAGTTGACTGGAGAAGTCAGGGAGGTGAAGGGGGCTGGGCTTCATCCCTGTGGGGAATGGTGTTGCCTAGGAAGATGGAGCCTGAGCTAGATGCTAGCATTTCCAGTGACTGAAAGGGAGTGATGGAGAGCAGGTGCCACTGCAGAGATGATGGCAAATGGCATAAGCCCCAAAGGAAGAGGGTAGAGAATCAGTAGTCTGGAAAAGCAGCAGCTGAGAACAAGGAAACTGACCTTACTTCCCCACCCTGAGTTCCTGGGTTTGGGAGAGGGAGCAGCAGAGAGCAGTAGGGCAAGAAGTGCCTTTCAGGGGCCAGGTTTCAGTTAAGAAGGATATTTCAGAGAGAACAGAAATCACGGGGGAAAAGGAAGTGAGGAAATTCTTACAACATTGCTAAGAGGCGTGCTGAGACATGATCCTGTCTGAAGACCTTGACTCTTACCCGCTACTGAAGTCCAGAGCTTCATTAATGTAGTCCTCACTGAACTCATTTTATTTATTTTTTTGCTGAGGAATATTTTCCCTGAGCTAACATCTGCTGCCAATCTTCCTTTTTTTGGTATGTGAACCGCCAGCACAGCATGGCCACTGACAGACAAGAGGTCTAGGTCCGTGCCCAGGAACTGAACCTGGGCTGCTGAAGTAGCGCGCACTGAACTTAAGCACTAGGCCACTGGGGCTGGCCCCATTTTGTTTTAAATTAAGTTTATTTTGGCATTGAGTTAAACATTAATGTTGAGATTCAGAAATAGGTGACAGACCTAGATTATTGGTTAAATTACACAGATGAGTATTTTTAATTCCTCGGTTTCTTAAAAGTCTAAGTAAAATTTTTGTTTGATACAGATGATGTCTACCGTAGAAAAGCCTCAGAAAGACAGTATCAGAGACGGCTGGAAGATGCACCAGAGACTGAACTTCAGCAATCAATAAAGTGAATATGAAATTTTACTACTGGTTTCAACTCCTTTAAAAATGTACTTTTCAGATCTGTTGTTCTTACACAGAACTGCCTTTACAAAGAATTTTTAGTTTTCCTGTCTCTGCTTGAATACTTCCCAAGTCACTGTTGGACAGCACTTGTGGGAAAACTGTTTCCTCCTAAAACACACCTACCCATTGAGTCTAGTCCATGAAATATTTCTTAAAAAATTCAAACATCAATCAGCATGCTTTTCAGTGCAGTCTGAATTGTGAAGTTCGTTGTTTTAGGCAACAAAAGATAATCTTATCTACTTTTTTTTTTGCAGAATTCAGATTTAATCATGGACATAAAAGCTTTCTACTGCAAGATCATTTAAACCAGGATATTTATACAGATTACATTTCTGCCAGCTACCAATCTGTAAACATTTTGCTAGGGTGGTGGGAATTCCTGACTGATCACACACTACTCATGTTAAGTGCTCTTGTGAACAGAAATAACCCCTTCCCTTGCCTGGGTCCACTAACATACAAGGGCTGGACCTCCATGAAGACTGGGGCGGGGAGGGGGTGCCGGCAACAGGCTTCACACCTGGCTATGGTGAAGATAAAGCTTTCATCTTGCTGCTAAAGATGAAGACACTGTTCCTTCCCTAAGAAATGAAACTTCACAGTGTAAAGCAACCATAGACTTCAGCTAAATCAGAAGCTCAGTCTATTGGGAGAGATTTTGCAATCTGACCAAGAGTAAGTTTGGGTCAGCTGATAGAAAAAGGGAAAGGCATCTTTCCATACTTAGATAACTACATCCAATATCTCCAAACGAGAAAATATCAGCATATTAAAGACTAAGTTTCAAAATGATTTTTAACTATTACTCATGAATAAAGAAGCAGATACTTAAAGACACAGGGTATCCTGAAGTTAATGATCTCCCTCTGCCACAAATCTCAATTTTTCTAGGCATTTTTTTCTAATATGTTAGTGCATTTATCTTAGAACCAATTCAATATAGCCACTGACTACTCAGATCTCATTAAAGCTCTACCTGCTCAGAGACGGCTTGAGTGTGAAGACCAGTGATGACCAACAGCACCTGGGAGAGAAAGGCTACGTCAACTAAAGAGTTCCTGGTGAATCTAACCTCACAGGCATCTTAGTGATGCTGCATAAGAAATTAAACTGTGGTATGATTCTCTCAATTATATGGCCTTATTCCATATGTTCTCCCCACCCCAAGTCTTAGAATGTTTGATTCATACAGAGAATTTAGTAATGTTTGATACATATAAAGAATATGCAACACACACACACCTTTTACAAAGAATAGTTGTAAATGCTAAGAAAACCATCAGCTAACTTGTGTGTGTGCTGTGGTTCCTTCCCTGGCCCCCCCTAGAAAGAATCACTAGCCTGAAATTTGTGTTAGCTCTCCCTAGTGTTCTTCTCCTTTTTGAAAATATATAAAGTGCGGATTTATTGAAGGACAACAAACCTTTGAAGATGACAGGACAATGTCTGACTTAAAGGCAAGTTAGTGTTATAGGAATTATTCTATTAAATTGATACTTTCAGAGCACATTAGTTTGGATGCTACAGAGTAAGAACTAATCTTTTTTTTTTTTTTTTGAGGAAGATTAGCCCTGAGCTAACATCTGCCACCAATCCTCCTCTTTTTGCTGAGGAAGACTGGCCTTGAGCTAACATCTGTGCCCATCTTCCTCTACTTTCTATGTGGGACTCCTGCCACAGCATGGCTTGACAAGTGGTGCATAGGTCTGCACCTGGGATCTGAACCAGCAACCCTGGGCCGCCGAAGCAGAACGTGCAAACTTAACTGCTGTGCCACCGGGCCAGCCCCAGAACTAATCTGTTTTAACCAAGGTGCAAGCTTTTCAACTTTGCTTGGAAAAAATTTTTAACCCTCCTGCTAAGGAATATGACTACCTTACTTATCAGATACTGCAATTATTTAAAGGAACTTAAAGTGAAAAGAACCATAATCTTATATGCTGATTATAGAACTGCAGTGCCCTCTAGTGTGAACTAAAAGGCAAAACAATTTCAAAAATCACAGCACTTATTCTAGAATGACCAAAATCTAATTTTGGTAGACATGCTAGAAGTCTACTTCCACTGTAGTGTTGGGGAAAGAACGCAGGCTTTATAGCTTCATTTGATCTTCTGAACTGAGAGGGCAAGTACCTATGTTAGGTGCACAGTAAATAATAAGCAAGGGCTGTCTTTGTTCATCTAGCAGTCCTAGTTTGAAAGTCTTGCCTATATCTCTGATGTTATCTTTTTTTTTGAGGAAGATTAGCCCTGAGCTAACTACTGCCAATCCTCCTCTTTTTGCTGAGGAAGACTGGCCCTGAGCTAACATCCATGCCCATCTTCCTCTACTTTATACATGGGATGCCTAGCACAGCATGGCTTTTGCCAAGAGGTACCATGTCCGCACCCGGGATCTGAAGTGGCGCACGCCAGGCCACCGAGAAGCGTAACGTCCGAACTCAACTGCTGTGCCACTGGGCTGGCCCCTCTGATGTTATCTTAATCACATTAATCTCTTTCTATTTTTGTAAATTTGAATTTTTCACAGAGTTAACTGCTTTTAAAAAAGTATACACTTGGACTCTGGCATTTTCCAAAAAACTTCTCTCCTAGTAAAGCAGTATTGGGTCTTAGTCTTCACACACGTGTACTAAATTTGGAATTTCTTGCCACACTTATGTGCAATCCACAAAACGTGAATAGCACATCTATTTTGGGCATAGAAATAGTTCTGTTAATGTGTTCAGTTCTGAACTTTCTGAGCTGACCTAGCATACTTCTAAACTAAAGAGGAACACAGTAATACTTAGCAGTATTTGCTCATAGTGGAATGTTTAACTATATATCAATGATCACTCAAAATATGCTCATGAGCACAGATGGCTGTACAGCCCTAAACTCTTAAGAGAACAGAACCACAGGGATTTGCAAAGTGATATTAGAGGAAAACAGTTGGTTGATTTTTACCAACACTTTCTATTAAAAGTGTGGTCATGGTTTAAGAGATTATAAGGATGTTAAAGACATACCTGGGCCACTTGTCTCTTCTGGCCACAAACAGCTGACTGTTTGAAATGGGTTACACTCCTTTATGACACAGGACATGCTTTCCTTACCTTCCGCCATCAGTAACTCTCCATTTTTAACTTCAACCTGCCTTTCTGCCCATACTGAGGACATGTTAGGAATTCCCTGACTGCCAGCTTGGCGTGGGGCATGCCAGACTGCAGTCTGACTACATTCGGCTTTGTTAATGCAGCCCGATCCCTCAGCCAGGGTCTGGACACTGACTTCTGCCTCCACCTGAGGAGCTCTCTTCCCTTCAATTGGCAGCCGTATCCCTGTCAGCATAAAATCAAGGCTTGCAGGAAATCTGCTTGGAACTAACATCTGACACAAGCTTTAACAGAACAACCAAACCTGGTTAATCCAAATCACTTTGCAAACTCCATTTTTATTTGGATTAAAAAGCTTTAGATGAACAAACATATGATACATACATGTTATAAGACTAGTTACCACTTAAACCTCTTTTGATACAGAAATTAGAATAAACCAAGTTTTAATCAGGTCTGAAAATGTTCAAGCTCAAAAGTCAACAACACCAATTTGGAGATTTTACACAAAGAAGCGTCCCCTCTCAATTCTTCCTCATAAGAAGAGAAGGGTGGGTTCAAAAACAAAGCAATTCAAGGCCTTTTAAATCAGTTGGCTGACATACTATTTTAAACCTATAGGTTTTTCTCCCACATAGACAAAATTCTTTTCCACGTGAACTGACATTTTGAAAACATTTAGGCCCTTATGCTTTCTAAGCCACATCACTACAGTTCATAAAACTCATGGAAAAAGATGTGTAGTTCACTTGTACCTTCTTAAGTCAGGACTTTTTGTTTACTTGCTTTTTTTTGGTTTTTCTTTCTTGGAAGATGGCTGACCTCAAATCTTATATCCTAAATATTGATTGATATTCTCCAGGTTAATATACAGAAAGACATGATTCTAAAATAAATACATAGTTTTTTTTTTTTTTTTTAAACTTAATTAGGGCCTGCCAAGTGGCCCCCTGGCCCGGCTCTGCACTGCCTTAGGGAAGCCCCTTGCTGGATCTATGGTTCCTACAGCACCTCCAAACCCTGGGAAGGAGCCTGGAGGAGGAGTGCTCTGGCTTCTAATGCCCCACATAGCCCACAGTGAAGAGTTTTTAGAGGCTTCCCAAAGAAGTCTCATCCAGACCTTAAAAAGGGAAATAAAATGGGTGCATGAAATAAATAAATAACTTAACCAAAATTAAATTTCAGGTTCTTTGGTGTAATTCAAGGATGTCTAGAAATAAAATAATCTGATTGTATTATACAGTTCATGATGATTCAATGGCCCAAATAACCAGGAAATGAAGTTTTCTTTATCTGATTCAGTTTGACAATAAGGTACTGACATACTACTGTAATACATTTTTTTAAAATTCAGAATTATTTAAAATACTTGATGCAAATTGAGATCCAGTGGTTGACTACAGGCAATTAAGTTACAAGGGCCTCCTGTATTTAACGTATCTGATACAAGAGACTTTTTTTCCGTTCTACACTCTTTTGTCCACATGATTTAGTAAGAATGGTAATTAAATACCTGGGTATTGATTCATTCCAGATTAAAAGAAAAAAGCATCCTCTGAGAGTCACTCTCTCAACTTGCAAACAGAAGTGGATGCTCCACCGCGATGGCAACCACCTTGTTGCAATAAAGCAGGTTTCAAAAATGCCAAGTGAAACGCTGTTCCGTGTTTGACGCTTTCCACTTATCTGAGCATCATACACTGCCCTCCAAATGATTATTCTAGGGTCATATGGAGAAACAGGGTCATCAAACCCAAGTGTTTGGGATCTGTAATAGTCTTTTTAGTGAGCATTTTTTAAAATTATGATTCCTTTCTCCTGAAATTCAAAAGCACAAGCTAAATTTAAAAAATACTTCAAAAAGTCTTAAATTTCTGGTTAAGAATTACAACTTTAACTTAGAAGAAAAAAATGCCACATCTGAAGAGGAAATAAAAAATACTAAAACATATTTGCATAGGCAGGCACTGTACCCTTTTATAATTATGCTTCTGACACAGCTCATATATTGTTATGCACTCCCCTCCCTATGTTGGGTTAGGTGTTATGTTTAAAAATAAATTACGTCCTTGCATACCTCAATGCTTTCTTCAAGATGAACTTCAATGTTTCCCAATGTAAGAGATTCAAAATTTTAAATCATCTAATATATAGGCATAAATTGTGAATTCATTATAAATAGATCAAAAGTACCCTCACACTTACCTGCCAAGACTAAATATAACTTAGGGTTGTGCACGTGTTCTGCAAAAATAACTGACACCATAGGTATCTAACTCAGCACAGAAAAAGTGATCTTTCCCTCCAGGTGTCCAGGAGATGTACTAGCTGCAGAAGGATGCACAGCACTGATTTCAGATTTCTGGAGCAAGCTTCTGAGTTAACAGAGCAATGTGCCATGTCTGCCAAACACCCATAACCTAAATAACAACCTTCACTTCACCTGTAAGAAACAGTTTTGCGAAAGTGGCTTAAGACATTCAGGCACATGAAACAGACACAAGAACACACCCCTCTCTGAGATGTAAACTAGGACCAACTTCACATTTCACTGTCAACTTAAACTCATCTGTAAACTCGTGTGTGTGTGTATATTTTTTTTCATTTTGTTTTTTCTTTTATAAAAAAAAAACCCCAAAAACAAAAAACAAAAACCCCAAGCCAAGACAAAACCTTTGATGGTTTCAGTTCCATGGCAACAAGTAAAAAGATAAAACTCCAAGTCTACATATACAACCAATTATGAAACTGGTTTTAAACGAAGGAAACATATGCAAAAAAATCTTTGTGTATTTGATAAAGTCAACTTAATATAACAAAAACAAATTGAAATAGCTTATTAAAAGTGTCCTTATATAAAAATGGCCTTGTGATGTACAGTAAAATGCAATAAAAATTATCATCCTTTGTTCCTCCCCCCACCCCCAGTAACTAAAATGGCTACTGTTCCACAAAACTCTTTATGCTTCTATAAAAGAAACGTAATTGATGCGATTAAAGGTTTTCTAGATTGTACGCTTGGCGAATGTTGA